GGGGGCCAAGCCCCCGCACCACCACCGCCATCCCGCTGGTTATTCCGATTGGTTTGTCTGGCTGATCAATTTCCCTCAGCGTACACCACGCTCGGGTGGGGTGTTGTCAACCAAAAGCGTCCATGGACCAAAGCCATAGGGGATTTAAAAGTATTTATTTACAAAAAAAGCAACAAGGAATATAAAGATATATGTGATAAGTAGAAAAAAAAGCATGAACCGCCAAACAAACGCTTAAATACCTACGAGAAAAAGAAAAAAAATACAAACACATACCTTTAAAAATGGGAAAATTTGGATTAATATAATTTTGGAATTAAGAAGCTTAGATAACTAAGAACGCGAATTTGATAAAAATAATAACGACAAACACAAAAAAAAAGGGGCCCGAAGGCCCCCAGTCCAAAATTTCCCAGAAAGTAACTTCCGGAAGTTTCTCATACCAATAAAGTACAGAAACTGTATCTAGAATAGCGTTAGTTGATCATTCACCCGTGCATCGGGCCTCAAATAGGCGGATATTCCGAGATATGGCTGGCACACTTTTAGGCCCCCCATGGCGCTCCCCAGGGGGGGAGGGGTGGTGGTGGTGGCTGGGACATAAAAAAGGGGCCCGAAGGCCCCCGTCCAAAATTTCCCAGAAAGTAACTTCCGGAAGTTTCTCATACCAATAAAGTACAGAAACTGTATCTAGAATATCGTTAGTTGATCATTCGCCTGCGCATGGGGCCGCGAATAGGTGGATATTTCGATTTCTAATGGTATAAAGGATATATTTTGTAGGAGATTTGATTGTTTTATTTCATTTACTTTCGTAAGATTATAATTCACTTTTGTTTTTGACTCAGTATTTATGTGTTGTTTTATGGTTCTGATTTCATTTACTACTTTACTAGATTTGTAATATATTTGAAGTTTTTAATTATTATTATTTTGAAAGTATTTATTTAGTTTTTCTGTTTATTTTACTTTTTCAAATAAGTATAAAATAATAATTATTCTGGAATTTTATTTTCAATCATATCATCTATATAAGCACATTGACATTGTGTTGTAGCTTCTGCAACTAGTAGTTTTAATTCTTGAATTTTCAGGTTTTGATAACGGATCTCCTGTTGTATTTCAGCTGCATCTTGAAGCATACCCAACCATATTTCCTGTGAGGATTCAGTGCCTTTCCCCTCATGGTCCGTTAAAGAAGTCATAATAATGGTAATGAGGTAATATTTTATTTATTGCGTTATTTCTTTGTTTTGGCACTAAATAGATGAAAAAGATTTACTAATAGAGACTGTAGGGAAAACTTCTAAATACATTCATGTGATAAGTCAGAGGAAATTCATTTAATATTTTTTTCCACGCAAAGTTGTATTCTCAGGTATTTTTTCTTTTTGGTAATTTAATCATAATGGTGCACATATATGCATATATTGCACTCACACGCATAGTGAAAAAGTGAAATCCAAAGACTTTGTGTGTTAATTGTAAAAAAGATATGTCATCCTTATTTCCAAGCATGCGAGATAGTGGCATAGTAGTAGAAATTTAATAATAGACGTGGAAAAGGTGGGGGGGGGAAACAAAGAGAGATAGACTGCACCTCAGCATCAGTATTTTTGAGAGGAAAAAATCCCTCTCAAAACTTTCAAGAACTCTTTTTCCCTTGTGTTTGTTCGACAGCGACTAGCTAAAATGATGACAGATTCATGCTCCATCAGACAGCTTTAAAAAAAATTAAACAAGTGTGCACGCGTCTAGATGCTGTTGTAGTTGTTCTTACGCGGCGCACAGCAATAAAGTTATACACGAAAGGAAATTATTGCTGTGTATTTTCTAAAACATATGTCACACCACTGATAGCACTAAACCTTCTTTCTTTCTCCCCTCCCCCCCCCTCCAAAAAAACAAAACAAACTTGTCATTTACTCATTCTTCTTCAGTAATCTGTAATGGCCTTGATGTTTGTCTCGTCGAGACCGGGCTCTTTGTTGATGGGGTGGTTCTCCCGCACCACCACCCGGTCGTCTTCAATTTTCAGCTCCACCTTTTCCCCTTCTCGAATACGCCCATCCAACAGCATAATGGCGAGCTGATTGAGAAATTCTGTCTGGACCAGCCGCTTTAAGGGTCGGGCGCCGTACGCCACGCTATAGCCATGCGTGGCGAACCAATCAAACACCGCAGTGGCGATCTCCAGCGTGATATTTTGCTCCACCAGCATCGACTCAATTTGCTTAAATATCAGCTCGACAATCGCGCGAATTTCCGTTCGGCTAAGGCGATTAAACATAATGATATCATCCAATCGGTTAATAAACTCCGGCGTCATGCGCTGGCGGACCATCTGCATCACCATCGGCATGGCGTTAATGCTCGGCTCCCCTTCCGGTAGCGTCGCGATGATGTCCGCGCCGATGTTCGAGGTTAAAATAATGATGGTATTTTTAAAATCCACCCGCCGCCCATGGCTATCAGTCAAGTGGCCCTCATCGAGGACCTGCAGAAGGATATTTGACACGCTCGGGTGGGCCTTTTCGAACTCGTCGAAGAGGACGATTTGGTAGGGCCGACGTCGGACCGATTCCGTTAATTCGCCGCCTTCCTCATAGCCGACGTAGCCGGGCGGGGCGCCGATAAGGCGATGGACCGTATGCCGCTCCATATATTCGCTCATATCGATTCGGCAAATAAAGGACGGGTCGTCGAAGAGAAACTTCGCCAGACATTTGCAGATTTCCGTCTTGCCCACGCCGGTGGGGCCGAGAAAGAAAAAGGAACCTAAAGGCCGCTGGTGGGAGTGCAGGCCCGCGCGGGAGATCCGCACGACGTTCGTGATGCTCTCGATCGCGCGGTCTTGGCCGAGGATGCTGGTTTTTAGGGCCGTGTCCATGTGAATTAGTTTCTCCCGCTCCCCAGTGAGGATGCGGGAGACCGGGATGCCGGTTGCGCGCGCGATGACCTCCGCGATATCCCCCGAGGCGACGGAATCGTGGACCATAAAATGTTTTGACTTCGCCAACTCCTTGTCCTGCTCG